GTGAGATTGATGAAATGTAGAAACTGTGGTCAAGGAACTACAATCGTTCTGATTAATGCTCTCGGGAAGGAAGAGGTAAAAGTGTTTGTCAATAAATTGTAGGTGAATAAGATTTAATGACAAAGATTGCAAAAAAAATTCGAAACACTTAACTCCTCCTATTTATAGGCGAAAGCGATTGGACGACCCAAATCAGCTAAATGTCGAATGACCAAACTTCTTACAACAATAACACTGAACCCTCTTCGTGTTAAACGTCTCCTTTCCCTTATGATGTTTCTTCTTATAAGAGTAATAGGATTTTGACTTCTGATAACCACCACCATGTCTCTTCTTGGCCTCTTACAAAGACTGCTTCTGATTCTTCTAACCATAAGATGCCTTCAGAGCTTGCTCTATCTCTCTTTTAGAGGTTCTCTTAGTCAGATGCAACTCTTGTGATTTTAGACTACTTTGCACCTCTTCAATTCTCATGATGCTAAGGTCCTTAGAATGTTCAATTTCTACAACAATGTAATCAAATAGACGAGTAAGTGATCTCAGTACCTTTTCAATGATTACTTGTTTAGAGAGAGTTTCTCCATAAGATTTCATCTCATTTGTGATCAAAATCACTCTGGAGATGTAATCAGGTACCTTTTCATTGTTCTTCATGTTGAGATTCTCATACTACTAACGTAGAGACTGAAGCTTCATCTTTTTCATTGATGCATCACTGTCGTAGCACCATACCAGTGTGCCTCTCGCAGATTTCACCATCGTTGAATCAACAATCTTCTCAAACACATTCCTATCCACACACTGATGGATATAGAACAACACCTTTTGATCATTCTTCCTCGCTTCTCTATGCGTGTTTCTTTGTGCTTCAGTTGCATATGATGCGTAACAGTCATTGACAATATCAAAAATATCTTGAGCGCCAAACAACACACGCATCTTAATCATCCATGTATTCCAATTCTTTCCATAAAAGGCTGAAAGCTTTATATTCAAGCTACCGTTTCCACCATTCATCTTTAGTCTTGTGCAAATTCACTTAAATATCACAAACCCTCGTGTTTCCCAATCCCTCAGGATCAAGAAATGTGATTTTGTTTCGATTTTGAACTTCAATTTACTGTGAATTTTAGAAACAAAATCAATCACACACGCCTCACCTACACTTATGTTTCCCAATCTAAATCTAAACCGGAGCTCTAGATACCAATTGTTGGTGAACAAGTTTGAATATGAAGAAGATGATGAAAGATAAAGAGAGTGAGAAAAATTGTAACTAACTTTGGATAAAAATTGATTACTTCAAATTTTGTTACAACTGACTTTTTATACTAACAAAGTCTCAAATGAAATTCAAATTCAGACTCTAAATGCAAAATACTCTTAGATGAAAATGCAACTAACTACTTGGATTTGGATTAAACTTTAACAGAGATATTCAGATTTCCTAAAATATGTTGAGGGCACTATTTGGACCATGTAAAAGAGAAGATTATTTGTGTATGGACTGGTTAGGTTAAGTACTTTGGCAATACAACGTCTAACATAGTAGAATATACACATATTAGATTGAAGAATTTAGTGGAAAACAGTAAAGGTGATTTTTATCGATATTAGGATGTCATGAACCAAATGCTCTAAAACCAACATAATGAGATACAAACATCTTTTGGTCGAAGTATTAATATGTTAGAACACTGATTCAAAGATAACATCCTTTATTAACAATTGGTTGGCAACGTATCTCTGGCGACATTGAACTTTATTTTCACGATGCCAAGTGAGCAGATAAAACATGTTCAGATAGCTCAAAATGTGGATGTACGTTTAGGAAGACGTACGGTCTTTCATGTGCTTGTTTACTTTCAAGAAGATGAAGCTTGAAAAACCAATATGTATGATGAAGTTTTTACTCACTGGAAAAGACTTCATTTTGATGATGATGGTGTGATGAAGGATGATAAATTATACATATCTATCATGACTAAGTGGTAAGTCATACAAGAGAGTTTCATGAAAGCTGATGTCATCATGAAATTGCACATCAAAGAGCAACTGAAGAAGATAGCCTACCCATAAAAAATGGATTTGAAACCACCGTCGGAACCGGTTAAAACAAAGGGTGCACCTAAAATATCATATTGACACAAAGTGATAACTCTATGAGGCAGTCTATTTCATACTTTGAACATGTTAACTCACATTTTTCGTATTCTCCAACTCTAAAATGTAAAATACAAAAAGTGTTTTCAAGGGTGCTCGCATTAGCAAACCATCTCCTCCACCTCTGTTACCAAAAATCACCCACATCGAAGAGATGTCCCTTTTTATGCACAAATACATTAAGCATATTGTAGATGTTGAAGGTGATGACAACAACGGTTTTTGAGCTATTTCGTGTTTGCTGGGTAAAGGAGAGGATGACCACCAACTTGTTCGCCTTCATCTTATACAAGAGACAACGACGCATAGGGATTCATACACAAAGTTATACGAGAAAAAATTACGATGCAATTCTCAATGCTCTCGTTCCTTATCTTAGTGGTTTGATACTGTTTGACAAATTGACGTGCTTCCCGGAAATGGACATCTTATAGCAAGTGCTTATGATATGGTGTGTATTCTTCTGACAAGATATGTTTTGTCGGAAACTTTTTTTCCACCTCGGAGTAGGCCACCTCAAAATCTATCTGGACACATCATGTGTATTGGTGGCTTTCAAAAACACAATATTTTGTTCAACTTTATTTGAAACTGGGATGTCCTATACTAAAGACATTACCGAAGTGAACGCGACATTTCACATAAGATGCTGAAACTTGGTCGGATCTTTTTTCTAGAAATGATGGATAGGTTCACCAGTTTGAGCGATTTTGAAAGATAAGCAAATAAGAAAACGTCAAAGATGGAACCACCAATAGATTTAGGTAGTGACACATGTTTTGATAAATTTAGTTTTAATCTAACAATGAAACTTGTTTTGTGTATGTAATGTTGTCCATATTGTTATAAAATTGGGTGGTAATTTTTTAGACAATTTTTGTGTTTATCAATTCTGCATTGCATACTACACTAGTTTTGTATGAATAGTTGTTTTGGTAGATTCGGAGATGCATTTTCGGACACATCTTTTAATTATAAAAAAAAACAAAAATCTGGGACTATACAGATATGCATCTCCGGAAGAACCCTTATTTTTGAAAAAAAAAGGACGTATCTGAAGATGCGTCTCCGAAATATGTCCTAGTGAAAGGATATGATTTATATGGTCCAACTTGATCGACCACTTGTATAATAGATGTTCCTCTTCCATTTTATTTTCAAAAACCAAAATGAATACATATCCGCATCTTTCTTTTATGTAATTCAACGGCGTAAATCCCCAACTTTCCTTTAGGGTCTCCAAGGACATACTTTTCATCGATCCAAAAACTAAATTGAATACTTTACTGGGATATCCAAAAAATCAGAGAGTTGTCAAGTTCGAGTATCATTCACCCTCGATTGTAAATGAATAGAAGATACGTTTCACCATACTTGAACTAAAGACAGATGATGGTTTAAAGGTTATGTGGAGTATTTTTTATCGTTACTCAACAAAGGGTCCGATTGAAGTAGATGCGACGATTGCAAGATCAATCGGATATATTCTAAGGATATCGCAACGTCCTGAGCTACTAGTTTATAATAAAATGTAATGTTAAATTTATGTTAAAGTTAACAATTATTTATGTAATGTTTATTTTGATGTTAATTTACATTGTTTTTCCATTCTGCCATTGTTCCTTATTCTTTCTAGTTTGGACTAATAGAGCATATTTCGAATATGCATCTTCCAAAAACTCACTGAATATTAAACTAAGGGGATTACAAAGATGCTACTTCGAATGAACCTTTTATGCATACGGAGATGCATTTTCAGACTTAATTTTAACAAAATAAGGGTTCCTAAGCAATTTCATGTGAGGTGAGTGTGAAAAAGATGCTTTCAAAGATGCATCTCCAACCGTTAGATGCAGTTGTGACTTTTTACGCAGGTGGGGAGCAAGCATAAGGGTAGAAAGAGTAATTCCCATAGATGTAAATCTAAACATGGTAAATATCATAACCTAACAAAACTTGGGTAGACATTAATCTCCATTAGGACTTGAGAAAGAGAAGATTGGAGGAGTGGTCAGTGATGTAGGCAAATCTGGTATTGGAGGAACCAACATGTGGATGACCAAGTGTCTCCCATAAATTTGACAGCTGATATATGTCAGAAAGTTAAGAACTGTGAGATGCATTTGGTGTTGCAACATAGTGTCATGAATAGGCAAAATCAAATACAACGCGTCAAATGGTTGTCATCGAATAACGGTTGGGGTCGGATACTATATGAAAAGAAAACGCAAGGAAATATAATGAGGAAGAAGAGTTCGAAGTCACATTACATTTGCTTTCCAACATGAAAATAGTCCATGGATGATACACTGTATATTCAAACAAAACTTTCGTGTAAGTCAAATTTTGCTTAAGGTTATTTTTATTGAAAAAATTGAAGGCGTTGCGTTTCAAAACCTATGACCACATATATCCTCTTAACAGAGCAATTATAGCAACAAAATTAGGATCTCTCTTCAAAAAAATTGCAATATATCACAATAAAGGTAAAATCTGAAAACTAAATATAAATGAATACATCTAAACTTGCTTTCAATTCTCTACTGTAACTTTAACAGATTGTAAGATTTAGTTACATAGTGGTCTATACTAATGCTATACTGTTGGAAACTAATCCAACCATTTTTTGAAGTAATACAAGGTAAGGCTCTCCACCACAAAAATAGTTTTAAGTAAGTGCTTACCTATGCACCAAACATAGTTTGATACTTAAGAATCTTAACATAAGTTTTAATCATGGAAGAAGAATAGAGTTATCTTACAAATCTATCAAGTTACATGTTGGAGCAAGTGTGCTCCATCTGATGTAGTCTTCTCCTGTAAGGAGTTATTTGCTGTTATCCTTGCTTTGATAACGGTGCACTAGTACCGGTAGTAGTGGAGATGTTAGCAGCCATTGAATTCGGCGATGGTGCATCCTCAGATTTCTTGTTGAGGTTATATGGTGTTGTACTCATCACCCTGCGTGGATAAAAATACCTAAGAATCTTAACTATATTTCACCTGATTTTGATGACGCTAGATATATAAAATTATTGTGCAAAGGGTATTGACAAGCAGTATTGACGATAAAAGATAAAAACCATGAAAACGAATCTTACAATATGCGTTGGCCTAACCAAACCTTATATAATTTGCTTGTAATGTGAGAGTCTCCCACTTATAAAGACTTCTTCAGATCATATCATATCTGACGTGGAACATAACACGCCCCTTACACTTATGGCTGTACTTCAGGGGCATGACCTGAGTGGCCTAGAACTAGTGACCCAATAGATTTTGAATGGGCTTCGAGACTATCTTATTATTTGTGTTGGCAGCTCAACCTTACAAAATCTACTTGTAAGGTGAGACATCCCTCCCATTTATGAAGAATTTTTTAGGCCATATCATATCTGATGTAAGACTCTCAACAGTTAAAGGTAACAATAAGAAATAGAAATCATATATTAGAACTAACCTTTCCTTGCGCTTTTCCAAAAATCGAGCCAATGATGCTTTGCGAGCCTGCGGTATAGCTGCATAAAATATTATATGTCAATTCCGTTAAAATCATGAAATGCAAACACTAGCGATGATGAACCATACTACAGATATCCCAAAAAACAAAAGAGTTGTGAAGTAACATCAGGTGGCAAGAGACTACATTGTACATACCTGATGGAAACATGGCGGTTGCATTGACTACTTTTGGAGTCTCCACTTTGCTAGCAGAAGTGGTAGGAGTGGGGCCTCTAGATGTTTTAGCAGTCAGAAATTCATCACTGCAAACTGAGCCACTCCCTGACTGTGGACCAGTATGTGAAGAAACAGATAAAGGACTTGAAATTGCTGAGAAGGGCGGTATATTAACAGGTGGACTCATAGGCACGCCATCATCATCTGATGCAAGCTTTGAGCTAGGTGCCTGAACTTCAGGTTGAGCCATGTTTGATGCTGTTGATAAGCCATTTCCAGCCAACAGCATGATGGCTTGTACCTGACAAAAATTGGCCAAACTTAAGTTTGCTAGGGGGCATATAAGGCATTTCCTGTTTGGATAAACAACTTAATTAAGCGTTTATCATATAAGTGCTTATGTATAAATTTGCTAGGGGGCATGTAAGTTGTTTTCATAAACTATCCAGAAGAACTTATCATAACTTGTTTCAATAAACTCTCCAAACAGTCTCACAAGTACTTATGCCAATAGACAGACACAAATAAGTCAATCCAAACAGAAAAAGAAAATATATATGAGAGAAAAATACCTGCTCGGGAGTGATATCTTTGAAGACGTTCACAGTGCCGGCATAGAACATGGTAAGTTGAGGAGCAGGTGCAGATGGTTTCACACTGTTAAAGAATCATATACAAATTAGAGACAAACAACTTAGTTGCATTCAAACCACTTCTAAAAAGAAGTTCAAGCATAGAACTAAAATTACCATGGTTCAACCAAACCAGCAACAGCGCCAACCCTTGGAAGAACTGAATGTGGTGCAGTAAATGGCGATCCCGCAAGTAGTGGTTGCTTCACATTGGCACCATTCAAATTCTGACCAACAGTTGCAAAATGATTCTTAAGGAATGGATGTCCTGCAGGAACTGAAATTGCTTGATTGGAAACTGAAAACATCCTCACATCATGAGGACGATTCACATCATGTTGTACAGGATACGGATTCACGGAAAAATGAATGCCACCTTGTCCGTCATGTTTGAAAGATTTCTAAATAGTAAGTAAGAACAAGCAACGGATGGAAGAAAAATTAAAAATGATATGTTGCAAAAATCAACTTCATATGAATCATATCTCAAAATGACTAGTATAAAACTAACAATGGTATCACGAAACAGAAATCAACTTCATATGAATCATAACTTCACAATTTCGAACAAATAAACAGAAACCAATGAAGCACATACACCTGAAACACGACACCAACACTGACACATAGACGGCGGTAAAAAATTTAAAAAATGAATAAATTACGGTTTCAAACACTACCACACATTTATTCAGAGGTGTCCGTGTTACATAAAGAGAGAGAAACTGACAAAAAGGTATCATCAAACCTCTACAAAACCAGAAGATATCATTTTCGCCTTATCTTCTTCAGAACCATTAAAAGGCATCAAATATGGATGAGCAGAGACTTTGTTAAAAAAGGGCCATTTTACTGCTGAAACTTTCGTAAATCCTGCACAAAAGGATTATTTATACAAAATTACAACAAAATTCATACACAAACCCCAAAAAGAAGTTAAAAAAATCTACACAAGAACCGCAATTAGTGATAACCAAACAAATTAAGCAACGTGTTCAATTATTAACTACTTTGACCTAAACCATACCAAAATTGAAGCTGAAAAACATTAAAAAAAATAATTTAAAAAAAAAGCATAGTTCATAAAAATAGTTGAATGAACCTGAATCTTTGGAAGCTTCATTGTTAATCTCTTGGTTTGAGCATAAACTCAAGAAATCTCTTTCCATTTTTTGAAGAGAAAAAAAAAATGAAGAAACCAATGAAAACGCAGTTTCAGTTTTAACTCAAATGTCGCTTTCTTTTGCCAAATACAATAACAAAAGCAACGTCTCTTCCAAACACAACACAACAACACCATAAATATAAACCACAAACTATTATTATTATTATTATTATTATTATTATTATTATTATTATTATGTTCTTATCTTTCTGAACTTAAAAAGACTTGACAGTTTTTTTCCATTAAAATAAGTGGTGATTTTAATGTTTTTATTGATTTTCATAGGGCTGGAAATGAGTCGAGTCGAGTCGAATTCACCTCAATTCGGCTCGACTCGTCAAAAATTGTTCGAGTTCGAATTCAACATAAATTTTTTTTTTAAATTCAAACTCGACTCATTATAAATTCACGAACAACTCGTTAGATTCATCTCATTAGGTTTAGCTCACATGATTCACGGACTTAAAACTATTATATATATATATATATATATATATATATATATATATATATATATATATATATATATATATATATATATATATATATATATATATATATATATATATATATATATATATATATATATATATATATATATATATATATATATATATATAGTATATTTACCCTTTTAAATAAATATATATTTTTAAAATAAAATATTAAAATAAAATAAAAGTTATCATATTGAAATTTAATTTTATCTACGAAATCTACTAATTCAAAACCTACACAACTTTTAAGAACATTTGAGAGTCTAATTCAAAAACTATTAAATTGAAGATTAAATTTGTCTAAGATTTGGAGTAAATATTTAAACCTAATCTTAAAGACATTATAATTATTCTCATATGTAATCGAGTTGACTCATGAACCTAACGAGTCGAACTATGTATAATTCAAGTAAAGCTCATTTAGTTAACGAACTTAATTTTTCGCTCATACTCAACTCATTTGGTTCATGAACCTAGTTCAACGATTTAATTGTCGAATCGAATTCCGAACTTTTTTCGAGTTTGTTCGGTTCATTGTCAGCCCTAGTTTTTCATTAATTTTGTTTACATATGTAATGTTTTTATTATTTTTAACTTAATTATTTCTTGTACTAATATTTGTGGTTTAATTGATATTTGTTTAAATATTTTTTTTATCAGTGGCCAGTTGAAATGGGGAACCATTAAAATATTTAATTTTAATTATAATGACTTTGAATGTCAAAATCTACATTTATTTTATAAAATTATGAAATGATATTAAAGTGTTGATATGTCATGTCAAAAATTAAAAAGCATTGATTTCAAATTTATAAAATAAACTATATTGAGATTATATTAATGAAAAATATATTTGAATGTATTAATAAGAATACAAGTGAGATAGTAATTTGCCAAACATTTAGTTAAAGTTTATTTCTATCACAAATCAAACGTAAAATAGTAAAGGCTTCAATGCAGTTTCTTTCAGTTTTTCAATTGTTTTGATTTTTTTTTAATTGTTTGATTATCACCCTTTAAATACTATTTCATTTCTTATTCTTTTTAAAGATTCAATTATTATTAGGTTTCAATTATTCTTTCTTCTTAAACAGAATTTTTTTATTTGTCTAAAAAATATTAAAATCTTTATATAACTTTGAATATTCTTTTATATTCAAAGTGGTCCTTATGTTTGAACATTGTATTGGAATTCCAATTTTTTATTTTATATATATATATTGTCACATGTGTTGTTTCTATTATATAATATAGTCTCTTTATTGTTTATTGTTTGTCTTCTTTCACTTTAACCAATTAAGAATCATATGTTAAAGATTAGGTTATACCACAAAGGATATTTTGTGTTAGACCCTGAACCAGCATATGTGAGAGAGGTGGATTTTTTGAGGTTAAGGATAGTTTTGACATAGATGAAATTTCAAGAATAGAATTGGATAAACTCATAAATGAACTTAATCTCATTAAGGGTTTGTTATTTAGTCCAAATCTCAATTCAAAGAACTTTTTCTACAATTATTAAATACTATGGTGATTCTTAATAATAGATAAGAATAAATTGTTTCAATAATTAAGAGTAACCAACCATTTCTATTACTATGCATATGAGTTGGTATAGTTTGAATTATTCATTGCTTAATAATACGAATCAACAATAGGGTTTCCTTAGGATTAGGAATTAGTTATACACTCAACTATCATTTGTATCTATAAATACTCAGCATTTATGGCTGAAATAAAATATAAAAGAATCATTCGTTTTATGGTATTTAGAGCGTAAAGCTTAAAAGCAATTTTTTTTTCCAATCTTTGTTATGCCTTCTGAACCTGAACCAACACCCACTATGTCATCACCAGCCGATTGTCTTGAATGCTGGTTCTCAATTCTCCATTAAACTTGATGGAGACAATTATCCTGCCTGGAGAATTCAATTCATGACTCTTTCACCAACACAGTATAATGAAAAATAATATACACACGTTGTACAAAAATGAATGAATTTTTTTTTCTTGAATTGATTCAAAGATGCTATATCTTTCCTTCACAATATTACAATTCAAAAATATATAAACCTTAAGTGCTCATTATTATAATGAACCTTTGTAATGATATGAACGTTATGCATAAAAGTTTCAAAGATTTTAGATGAATGAACACTTAAAAATGATTTGAATTGTATGTAAAATGTGAATGAAAGAGGTAGTTCATAAAATTGATGTATCTTGCCTTAAATGCACCCTAAGACACCTCTTAGATAAGACACATAAGTTTGTAGAAGTTTCAAGATGGTTTGTAATGGTTTGGAATGACGATGATTCATGAAAAGTCACATAAGTGTGATACCAGTTACCACCTCTTGTACCTTTTCAATTTTTCAAATAAAACCAACGTCTATCTGGTTAGATGATTCGTATAATCGGTTACCACCCTGCTAGTTTTCAAAAATAGCAAACAAAATGAGCCTATAATTGGTTACATGTTTTGTTATTCAATTACACTACTTTGAAATTTTAAAAAATGTTTTGTAAATGGTTTGGCTTGAAAGATTTTGATGCATGGATGTTTAGAAACTTTAGAGATGAGTGTTTTTCTGAGCATCTAAAGTTTAAACATAATAAATTACAATTGAGTATCTTAGCACCATGATCAACTCCCTTGAATTCCATAACATCCAATGACTTATGCACACTTGATATTTGATTGAGCTGGACTTTAAACTTTTTCTTCTTTGATAAGCTTTTGTCTTCCTCAAAACTAAATTAAGATAGATGATGAATATCTTCTCCACAATCTCCCCATTTTAATGGTGAAAAAATATATTTATGGGAAGTTTTTGTTTGACATTTTATGCCCCCTATCTTGTATACATCTGTCTTTGTTTTGCAATTCATGTTTTGTCTTTGGTATCCTGAAAAATAAATAAAAACTACCATACATTTTCTCCCCCCCCCCCCCCCCTTTTGATTTTATCAAAAAGAAAAAGAGTAAAGTTTTAAATAAAATAAAATAAAATAATATATCAAGTACTTATCTTCTTCACAATACTAATTGAAATAGTCAATCTTTTCAATTCATCTTCAACCAAATGAAATTTTAATCTTACCATATCATATTGCCTCATTCTATCTTGAACAGCCAGTCTTAATTTAATAATTTTAACAAATAATTTCCAAGTACCTACAAAAAAACAACCACTAATACTTTGTAGGTACTCAATATTCTTTAGGTTCTTTTGGGTTAGTTCCTTTCCTTACCCAAACATATTTTTCACTAGGAATACCAAGATTTCGAAAATAACCAGCATTTGGGATATGTCCATTTAAATTGAAATAAAAACATGTAGATTCATTGAAAGGCTTATTGAAATGATAAACATTATTTTTTACAAACATCTTTTTTGGTTGAAAATTCTCTTGAACCACCTTCTTGGTTTGAAAGTTGTTATAAGAATTTGTAGATTTTATAAAGATAGTTTTGCTTGAGCTAGGTTTAGTAAATTTAGAATACCCAATACCGATTCTATTGTTTGTATACCTTTGCATACTTAAGACATTTTCCAAACCAATTTTGCCTTTTTCATATCTCATAATCACTTGATTCAAGTTATCGATTTTCATTTCAAGAGATTTACATTTTGTGCTTGTTGGATCCTTAACCATGTCTAATTCAATTTGCATGGTATTAGCTTTACTTTCTAGACATGAATTATTTTCTTTTTGTTTGTACATTATCTAGATAGTGTTAAACATTCCCCATGCAGTTCAAAAAAAGCATTATGCAATTCATCGTATGATGTTTTGCTATTGATTTCAAAATCATTAACCTCATTTTCTTCATCATCGGAAAGGTGTGAAGTCACTAATGCCATGTGTTCTTTCTTTTCATATAAAAATTAACTTACTTCATTGTCTTGTCATGCCATGTATGCTTTTTTTGACCTTTTTGTTCATCTTGCCATTGAAGTTATTCTTTCTTTGAAGTCTAAGGCAATTGCTTTTTGTTTGTTCTGATATTTCACATTTAAAATAAGAACTTTTTTTTATTAATGCTTGCTTTGTTTCTTCAAACTTATGATCTTGATTTGACTTTGTAGCCTTTTTGTTCTTTAGAAACTTGTTCTTTAGAAACTGATGCTTGTAAGTCCAAGAAGATTCCCTAATCGAGAATGGATTCCTTATCCCCGATTTCCTGAACGTTGTGTTGGCACATTTTCAAGATTTTTGCTCGAGAGGTGTTGAAGGGAGTGTATTTGTCAAATCGGTTGCGGGTTTTGTGACCGCCTTTCTCTATGTGCCGGTTGGATTCCTTCCTTAACGAATATGTGGAACATGTGTTTGCTCTGTTGACTACTATAAAATACACATTCAGTAACATAATATTACTATGGTCATGCCTTCCACCGTTGTAATATTTGAATTTGGATTCGCCTAATGCTTATTTATTTGTTTGAAAGTTATTTAATCACGGTTGATATACACAACCGTGGTGATAAATTGAGTGGTACAA